TTCTTGCACGATACTTCTTTTGGTCGGTAAAAATTCATTATATGATCTTCCGAAGGTTTTGACCACCGTATCACGCAAATATCTTCTGTCTTTGTTTCGAGCTGTTTTTCTGACAGATCTAGATCGCCATGGCGTCTTCAAGTGCCCCCAAAGACAAGTTCTTTGAGAAGGTCATCAACCCCTACCTCGCGGAGGTGCTGCAACACCCTCAAACCATTGAGATGCGTGAGGGGTTGCTGCACATTTGTGATGTTGAGGGACCAAGGAGGACCAGAAAGCATGGAGACAAGGCTCGAGGCAATGGAGCAACAAGTTTTCAAGTGCCAGGAGATGGTGGAACGTGGACTCGACTCCAATCATATAATGATCATGAAGTTCACCAACAACCACAAGCTGGATGACAAGGACATTGGGGAGGCCATCTTCAAGCTTCACGAGAAAATTGAGCGCCTCCAAGCCCAGATCTATGACCTGCAAAACCAAAATTGTGAGTATGAATATAGATTCAAGAGGATGAGTTTGGCTGCAGATTTGAGGATCCCAAAGACTCGATTATCCTTCTATGATGGTGAGCCTATGCCTGGGAAGATGGACGACAAGCCTACATCACCAACAACTCCATCATCACCACCTCCGAGGAAGGAAACATAAACACATGGGTATGGGCACTCCCCTTGGCAACTGCCAAGCTTGGGGGAGTTCCTCGGTATCGTATCACCATCACTTTTATCTTTACCATTTTTCTTAGTTCGATCCTTTTGGTAATATCTTGATCTAGTAGAATAAAGTTTTAGTATGGTCTAGTTCTTTAGTTTTGCTTTATGATCCTTCTATGTAATTGAGTCCGTGAGCTATATATAATAAAGATTAGTGTTGAGTCAAGGGCTTGATTATTTTGCTATGATCTTGAGGGAATAGAATAAAAGGAAAAGAAATAAAAAGAAATAAAGAGATCATATGGATCTTATGGATAGTAATGACTTCACATATAAAGGGTATGATGAATAAAAGTTGTTGAGAGTTGACAAACATAGTTTTGGTCATTGCTGCAATTAATAGGAAGTAATAAAGAAAGAGAGGCTTTCACATATAAATATACTATCTTGGACATCTTTTATGATTGTGAGCACTCATTAAAGTATGATATGCTAAAGAGTTGACGTTGGACAAGGAAGACAACGTAATGGGTTATGTTTTCTCACATCTAAGATAAATTATATTGTCATGGATCATCCAACATGTTGAGCTTGCCTTTCCCTCTCATGCTAGCCAAAATCTTTGCACCAAGTAGAGATACTACTTGTGCTTCCAAATATCCTTAAACCTAGTGTTGCCATGAGAGTCCACCATATCTACCTATGGATTGAGTAAGATCGTTCAAGTAAGTTGTCATCGTTGTAAGCAATAAAAATTTCTCTCTAAATATATATGATTTATTAGTGTGGAGAAAATAAGCTTTATACGATCTTGTGATGTGGAAGAAATAAAAGCGACGGACTGCATAATAAAGGTCCATATCACAAGTGGCAATATAAAGTGGCGTTCTTTCGCATTAAGATTTTGTGCATCCAACCATAAAAGCACATGACAACCTTTGCTTCCCTCTGCGAAGGGCCTATCTTTTATTATTGTCTTATACTTCATGCAAGAGTCACGGTGATCTTCACCTTTCCTTTTTACATTTTATCCTTTGGCAAGCACAATGTGTTGGAAAGATCCTAATATATATGGCTAATTGGACGTGGGTTTTCATGAACTATTATTGTTGACATTACCCTTGAGGTAAAAAGTTGGGAGGCAAAACTATAAGCCCCTATCTTTCTCTGTGTCCGATTAAAACTTCATAACAATAAATATCGCGTGAGTGTTAGCAATTGTGAAAGACTAAATGATGGTTGAGTATGTGGACTTGCTGAGAAGCTCTTATATTGACTCTTTCCTATGTTATGATAAATTGCAATTGCTTCAATGACTGAGATTATAGTTTGTTAGTTTTCAATGAAGTTTCTGATTCATACTTGAGTATGTGAATGAATTGTTAATTTAGCATAAGAGATCATATGACAATATATATATATATATATGTTGCTATTCTAAGAATGATCATGATGTCCTCTTGTCCGTATTTTATTTTATCGACACCTCTATCTCTAAACATGTGGACATATTTTTCAATTTCGGCTTTCGCTTGAGGACAAGCGAGGTCTAAGCTTGGGGGAGTTGATACGTCCATTTTGCATCATGCTTTTATATCGATATTTATTGCATTATGGGATGTTATTACACATTATGTCACAATACTTATGCCTATTCTCTCTTACTTTACAAGGTTTACATGAAGAGGGGAATGCCGACAGCTGGAATTCTGGGCTGGAAAAGGAGCAAATATTAGAGACCTATTCTGCACATCTCCAAAAGTCTTGAAACTCCATGGGAATTATTTTCAGAATATATAAAAAATATTGGGCAAAGAAAGTACCAGAGGGGGGCCACCCACCATCCACGAGGGTGGGGGGCACACCCCCTGCCTCGTGGGCCCCCTGGTGGCCCTATGATGCCCATCTTTGGCTATATGGAGTCTTTCGTCCAGGAAAAAAATCATAAGCAAGCTAACGAGACGAAACTCCGCCGCCACGAGGCGAAACCTTGGCAGAACCAATCTAGGGCTCCGGCGGAGCTGTTCTACCGGGGAAACTTCCCTTCGGGAGGGGGAAATCATCACCATCATCATCACCAACGATCCTCTCATCGGGAGGGGGTCAATCTCCATCAACATCTTCACCAGCACCATCTGATCTCAAACCCTAAATCATCTCTTGTATCTAATCTTTGTATCCAAACCTCAGATTGGTACCTGTGGGTTGCTAGTAGTGTTGATTACTCCTTGTAGTTGATGCTAGTTGGTTTACTTGGTGGAAGATCATATGTTCAGATCCATTATGCATATTAATACCCCTCTGATTATGAACATGAATATGCTTTGTGAGTAGTTATATTTGTTCCTGGGGACATGGGAGAAGTCTTGCTATGAGTAGTCATGTGAATTTGATATTCGTTCGATATTTTGATGAGATGTATGTTGTCATCCCTCTAGTGGTGTCATGTGAACGTCGACTACATGACACTTCACCATTGTTTGGGCCTAGAGGGAGGCATAGGAAGTAATAAGTAGATGATGGGTTGCTAGAGTGACAGAAGCTTAAACCCTAGTTTATGTGTTGCTTTGTAAGGGGTTGATTTGGATCCATATGTTTCATGCTATGGTTAGGTTTACCTCAATACTTCTGTTGTAGTTGCAGATGCTTGCAATAGGGGTTAATCATAAGTGGGATGCTTGTCCAAGTAAGGACAGTACCCAAGCACCGGTCCACCCACATATCAAATTATCAAATTACCGAACGCGAATCATATGAACGTGATGAAAACTAGCTTGACGATAATTTCCATGTGTCCTCAGGAGCGCTTTACTTTATATGAGAGTTTGTCCAGGCTTGTCCTTTGCTACAAAAAGGATTGGGCCATATTGTTGCACCTTATTTACTTTTACTATTTGTTACCCGTTACCAATTACCTTATCACAAAACTATCTGTTACCGATAATTTCAGTGCTTGCAGAAAATACCTTGCTGAAAACCGCTTATCATTTCCTTCTACTCCTCGTTGGGTTCGACACTCTTACTTGTCGAAAAGTCTAGATAGATCCACTACACTTGTGGGTCAACACGTTGCTGTTTTTTGAGGCCTCGACGAACCAAGCAGAGTGTGTGTGGGCAGCATTACAGAAGTATGGTGCGGCCACTGGGCAAAAGCTAAACTATGATAAGTGCTCAATATTTTTTGGTAGTGCTTGCCCTGCTACAAATCAGACGCGGGTCCGAGATGCCTTGCAGGTCACAAGTACGGCGTTTGATGAAAGGTATCTTGGCCTTCCGACCCCGGATGGCCGCATGTCCAAGGGCAGATTTCAAAACCTACAAGCAAGCCTCAGTAAACGCCTGATGCAATGGGGGGATGGCCTGTTGGCTCAGCCAGGGAGGGAGGTGTTGATTAAATCGGTGGCCCAAGCCTTGCCAACATATATTATGGGTGTCTTCAAACTCCCTTTTTCGGTGTGTGATGATCTGACAAGGATGGTGAGGAATTTTTATTGAGGATCTACAGAAGGAAAGCGGAAGGTGCATTGGAAAAAGTGGGACTATCTTCTTCAGCCAAAAGATAGGGGAGGTGTCGGCTTTCGAGACTTCCGGTTATTCAATCAAGCGTTGCTAGCTCGGCAGGCTTGGCGAGTGCTGTCCAACCCGGATAGTCTATGTGCCCAGGTTCTTAAGGCAAAGTACTACCCGTATGGCAAGTTAGAGGATACGGTCTTCACAGGAAATGCATCATCGTCGTGGAAAGCAATTAGTCATGGCCTTGACCTCTTGAGGAGAGGTTTAATTTGGAGGGTGGGAAATGGTAAGAATATCAGAGTGTGGAGGGACAACTGGATACCGAGGCCGTCCTCCTTCAAGACGGTCTCGTTGCAGGGCAGATGTCGTATCCGCTTCGTTTCAGATTTGCTTAATGCAAATGGATCCTGGAAAGTGGAGCTACTACAATAGTATTTTTTGCCTGCAGACGTGATTGAGATTTTGAAGATTCGAGCTTCATCAAGGTTAGACGAGGATGTGATTGCATGGGCCCCTGGGAGACATGGAGTCTTCTCTGTCAAATCAGCGTATCACTTTTCGTTTTAGGAAATGTTTGGGGCAGACACAACCTCTTCTAGTACCTCGGTATCAGGAGGAAGGAGTTGTTGGAAACTTGTTTGGAGCAGTGCAGTACCTCCATCGATCCGTAACTTCGCCTGGCGATTAGCGACAGCCGCTCTTCCTACTTGGAAGAACAAGAATAAGAGAGGGCTTGAGCTTGTTAACGGCTGTCCGGTTTGCGGTATCGAGATTGAGGATAACTTCCATCCTTTTCTGAGATGTCAACGGGGGCGTGATCTGTATAAGGAAATGGCGAAGGTCTGGAAGCTGCCGGCAATCGAATCCTTTGTGCCCAATGGGAGAGAGTGGCTTCTTCATGTGCTGGACTCCTTATGTGAGCTTGATCGGTGTAAGATGATGCTCATCTTCCGGAGAAGTTGGTACGTGCAGAATGAAATCGTACATCATAAACTGGCGCCGGCCATGGATGTTTCTGTGAGTTTTCTAAGAAGATATCTGGAGGAATTAGCAGGGATCAAACTGAACCAAGGAATGGATTCGGGTAAAGGCAAGGGATATCTGTCTTTTAATCAGACTAGTGCAGTGGTCGATTTTCAGAGTGCAGGGCCCGTGTGTAAGTGGAAGCCACCCAACATGGGTTGGGTAAATTTGAACACGGATGGGTCCATTGTTGATTGTGACAATGCGGGTGCTGGTATGATTCTGCGAAACTCTAGTGGGGGATCATCTTTTCGGCATGCAGATCGTTATTTTCCTGCAGAGATGCTGTGGAAGCGGAACTAGGGGCAACCATGGAAGGTTTATCGTTGGCCATTCAATGATCCGATCTGGCCATTGCTATCGAATCCGATTCAAGCTTGGCAGTGTCTGTGGTATCCTCTAGTGAAGTTGATCGTTCAATTTATGCTGCTTTGGTGAATGAAATAAGACTATTGATGCGTCTTAGACAAACTTGTGTTACTCATGTTGCGAGAGTCCAGAATAAAGCTAGTGATAGTTTGGCTAGGTTTGCTCGAGTTGAGGGGCGAACTACGACTTGGCTGGGATCTGGGCTAGATGAAAGTCTTGGGTATCTCCCTTGATGATTGTAAAGACATTATCATTTGAGTAATACAAGTGTTTCCGCAAAAAAAATTATACAATTTTTTGATAGTTACGAATCACAATCACATGTAATTGCTTCTAGACAACAATTCATTGAAACCAAGTTTATATATCATGACACATATGTTATTGAATTAATCATTAGCTAACCAATTAAGTTATAAGCTACATTTAGCAAAGGTGCTCATAAAAAACATGAAAATGGTTTCATTATCATGGGTGCACCATCATCCTCAGTTGTTCCCTTATAGGGTAGATGCTTGCATGCTTTGATCTTTCTTTCACATGCCAAAAATAAAAAAGACACATACATGAACAAAACACACACCCAACACATTTTCTAAATTACACTATGATAATTTTGTGAACCCCCCAAAATCTCCGTTTACTCACTGTTGTATGTATGATAAGCACCGGAGGCGTTCCTTTGTAGCAGCACATGCATGAGTGTGATGCAGAACTTGCTGCTCGCCGAAGGTGGGAGACATAACACACATCAATGGAAATTGTAAAATGGGGTTGAGCGATGGGTGACACAAATAAGGTTGCATATGGTTCTTGCGAGTTGTTTTCAGAGAGCGCATCGATCACACATCGTATGATAACCTTTTGATCCAGCGGTTACGCACCCGACTGACACGATCAAGCGATCAACCGGCTGAACACCGGTGTTTTCCTAAATCATAGCCACATCATCAACGAGCTCATCATGATGTCGGGATCACATTAACTCCACAAGAACAAGCAGTATGGGTTGCACCACACTTTAGCCCATAAAGTTGAACTATTCGGGCCATATAATATTTGTTCCATTAAATAAGAATATATTCATTTTTAGTAAAAAAAACATAATACCAAAAACAGTGAGGACTAGAGGAACCAACATATTTCATGGTTGAACAACAACAAATTGAGCTTGTATAACAAAACATCAATTTTATAAAAGAACATGCTACACTTTGTCTAGTTTATATAAGTGACATGAAGAGGTAACATAGTTTTGCATTATCACTTCTAGGTCTGTACACAAAATTTCCAGGTTCTCCACTAGAGAGCCCGATCGGACGACGGGGAGTGCGCTAGGCAGACGGCGACGTGAGGCGAGCGCGGATGCCCCCAGGAGGCGGGTAATTCAACATCATTTAAAGGAGTAATTGTTGTCAAAGTAAAGATACTTGATGTATTTGACCTAATTTTACATATCTTTATGGCCTAAAAAACCAGCCAATGAAATGATGAACCATTGGTCCGACTAGTGAAAATCCAAGCCGACAACATCATTGATTTAGCCACAGGTTCAGTATTTAAAACTATGAAACCAGGGCAGCACCGACGGTAGGTTTGGAGGAGCCATGACCACCAAGATGGCAGGCCGTCGTCCTCTAACAACCTGGTGCATCCTTGGGCCGAAGGGCGGCCAAGATCATTCCTCTTGGCAATGATGTCGTATGGGAGGCAGTGCTGCTTCAAGATGGTATCTGCAGCGAGCAGCTATAGAAGTCTCGTGGACCAAGGGAAGTAGCTTTTGACTCGAACGCGTTTTCATTTTCTGTCTAGGGTCTTCTTTGTTAGTTTTTGGGATCCCTTTGTTATTTCCTGTTCCTGTAGGGTCCTGTGTGTAAAATGTTCCCTACAATTCAGCAACGGTTGCGCAGTTAAAATATAAAGAGAGAAGTTCAAAAAAAAGAGAGAGAAATATCCGAGGCGAAGCCCGTCTTCCGCATCAAGAAAATCGAGAAGCACCTTCACGAAGAAAAAGGAAAAGGAAAACGAGAAGAGCAGTCCATCTTCTTGGGCCGCAAGCCGAGCTGGAGAGGCGCCGTCCAAGCACGCACAAATACGCCCGCATCTCCCA